GTCTAATTGACCAAATCAGGAAGCAGTCACAAAAGTCATTTATTTTAGAACTACATAGACTTTGGAATAAAACTATATGGAACAAGGAGAGCAAATAACTAACCTTTTATTCAGAAGCCGAGATGAAAGCAGTTTGAGAACTCTGTTGTATCGTCTTCCTTAAGTGTCTATCAGGACTGGCCTTTGCCTTTTTCTGGAAAGACAGCCTGAGACACTTTTTTCTCTCCCATGTACTAGCCGGAAATAGGAACCAGGTATCTGACTCCCCACTGCTACCTAACCCTTCATCTCAGTGATATAAAACAGGAGTGCTTAAGTACTACTGTTAAGTAGTGTTAAGTACTACTGTTTTATACGTAGTAGTGGGAAGCAGTGTGTCGTCGTGGTTAAAACAACATGGCCTTAGAATCAGACTAGGGTTTAGTTTGGGCTGTGTGACATTGTGACATAACCACTAATCTTCAGTTTCCTCTTCTGTAAAGCACTGATAGTAGTCAGTACACAGGGCTGTTCTGAGCATTAAATAAGAGTGCCAGTGCCTCATACGTGAAAGAATCCTCTTTGAAAATTTATCATGGAGAAATTTTTCTCCATAGTGAAGTGTTGATGTTGGGGCTTTCCCCCCCAGTTTAGCTGTTTCACTGCAATTCTAGTTTATTCTGTCTTCAGTAAGATCAAGGATCTCTGCTCGTGACTGAAAGCCTCATTTTCAATTGATGTATCTAATTTAAACCTAGAATGTGTCAGGAGTCCAGTGTGCAGCTGTTTAAAACTGTTAGTCTGTCATTCTTTAACAAAACTTTTTAAAAAAAATCACGGACTCCCTTCTGCATTCCTCTGCATCTAATCCATCAGTAGGCCAAGTTAGTTTGCCCTCCCATAGATTTGGTGTATAAATGTCTTCACCACCGTCACCTTTGGCCTCATACACAGAGTAGCCTCTGGCTGTCCTCCCAGCTGTCAGCCTTCCACACTGTCCTCCCCTCAGTGTCAGGGTGATCTTCACACAGCGTCAGTGTGACCCTGTCATCAGCCTGCTGGAAACTGTGTAGGGTGGGCTTGTGGTTGCTCATGGAGTAAAACCCAGTGTTCTGATGCTCTCCGGGGTCTGGCCCGTGCTGGCTTCTCTAGCTCCGTCTTCTTCCATTCTTCTGCTCCCCTGCTGCACCAACCTCTTTCATTGCCCAGCGGTCAGGTTCTTTTTTGTCCTAGGACAGTGCTGTCCATTAGAACATTCTGTGAAGATGGAAAGGCTCTATATCCATGCTGTCCAATTCAGTAGCTGCTATTCAGTGGCTGCTGAGCACTTGAAATGTGGCTAGTGTGACTGTGAAGGTAAATTTTTAATTTAACTTGGTTTTAATTAGTGTAAACGTGGCTAGCCGCACTGGCTGGTGGCAGCCGTGTGAACAGTGCAGCTTTCGGGTTTTGCATGTCTTCTCCCGTCTGCCTTGGAGTCTCTCCAGGTCTCTCTTATTCTCCCTGCTAACTGCTACCCATCCAGGGAGGCCCTCCCTAACCCATCAGTCTTAATTGGGAAATCTAAGTGCCTAGCACTTAGAAGGTGTTCAGTAAATCCATCAAATGAGTAAACATTCTGAAACATTTGCAGTTCTTGCGGAAAGTTCACAGAATGGTTTCTTTATCTGGCACTGTCGCACTCTGAAAGGTATCTCTCAGAACAGATACACTCAAGGGGCTGGTGGAGGGGACACAAGACCTATGCTTAGATGTTCATCTTTGGGATGTCCTAGGTGTCATCATACTAGTGCTTTACCAGGGGTGTAAAGTAGGTTTTTTAGGGTGTGTCTTATCTAGTTTTGTCATGTGTAAGCTTAGACCTAAGTTCCCAAGTGATGGATTATATATATCATCTCAAATAGCACAGCACGTTAAGACAGCGTGGTTGCTCCAGTGCTAATTGACAATGCTTTGAAAACTGCGACACTCCATCTATGATGGAAGAGAAGTTCCGACTTCACAGGCTTGTGTGGAGGAGTTAGGGAGCAAGCCTGGAGGTCATCAGACAACCCTTAGGAATAAGAGTTATTTGAAGAGCCAGTTTTGAATAGGGCAACAGATCCTCCCTCCCCCCACCCACCTTAAAGTTTCACAAATTACTGGAAAAAAATTCAGGAATGGGGAAAACCAACTTGTGACTGATGGTTTATGAGGCACTATCTATCTAAGATTTTTTTTACCCAATTTGACTGTAATTCTTTTTCTGGTCTTAGTAAGTTGTGTCTGAAAAGATTATTTTCCCAAGAGCCTTGCTGTTTCTGGAAGTTGGGAGATAATGGTGAATGGTGGTGGGGGTGGAGAGCAGGAAGGAGAAAGTAGGTGTGGTTCCATTTTTTTTTTTTCCAGGAAGATCAGCCCTGAGCTAACTACTGCCAATCTTCCTCTTTTTGCTGAGGAAGACTGGCCCTGAGCTAACATCCATGCCCATCTTCCTCTATTTTATATGTGGGACGCCTACCACTGCATGGCTTTTGCCAAGCGGTGCCACATCCACACCCAGGATCCGAACTGGTGAGCCTTGGGCCGCCAAGAAGCAGAACGTGCGAACTTAACCGCTGCGCCACCAGGCCAGGCCCGGTATGGTTCCATTTTGAGATTGTGAGATAAGTGGAAAAGCAGAGATCCATGGTTTGTAATTATACATTTGTAGGTGGATTCTGAAGAGCCAGTCTTTGAGGCTGTTATCAACTGGGTGAAGCATGCCAAGAAGGAGCGAGAAGAATCCTTGCCTGATCTGCTACAGTATGTCCGGATGCCCTTGCTGACCCCCAGGTACATCACGGATGTAATAGATGCTGAGGTAAGTCATGCAGACACACAGGATCCAAAACCTTGAGTATCTCTTTTGGCTTCGTATTGTGTACTCAAATCAGTTATTTTAATGTAGGCACAGTGTCTCCTGGTTTGCCTCTAGGCAAGTTGGGCTCCTGACTCAAGTGAAAATCTGTGATTTAATTAATTCTGTGTTGAGGTGTCTTTTTTTTTTTTATATGCCGCTAAGTGTTTTACATAAGCAACACTTGATAAATTTTGTTCCTTCTCTATTCAATGTAAATTGTTCCAAGTTGCCCCAAAAGAGATACTTTGCTTATCGAGTCTCTCTGTTTTTGACCTCTGGTGAAGCCCACATGAAAGTAGTTTGATGCATTTTAACATCAGCTTAAGTCATAACGTGTTTACTTATAAAAGTATTTCTCTACCTTAAGTTGTTTGTGGTACATTTTCATGATTTTTACCATCTATCTCACCTGTGTCACCTGGACCATCCTTTGGGGGCCCACTGATTTCTGACATGCAGGTGAGACCCACGTCAGCAGACACGTTCCTTCCTCTGGCCCAGCCCTAGATCTGTTTTGGAGTTAACTACAAACACAGTTTTTTAGTTATTCACGTTAGAAAAGTTGCAGGCTGGTCATTGTCACATCTCAAACTCTTTTTGTCCAATTTATAATGCCATTCTTACAACCCATCCATAGACCCCTAGTGTGTATTTCTTTATATTATGGTTAGGAGCCCAGACTCAGGGGACTGAAATCCCAAATTCACCACTTACCTTACTGTGAAGGAGCCTGACCTCACTCTCCTCCTTGCCTCTGAGTTCCTGCTAGGGCTTTTCAATGGCAGAGCCCAACCAAAAGCAAGAGGACATGGGAGCCCTGTGACCTAGTTCATATGCGCCAGTCTTCTGAGCCAGAGAGCAGAGCGGAGGAGGTGCAAAGTGACTGTGGGGAGGCACGTGAGAGCCGTCCAGTACAGAGCTGTGTCAGCAGTAGACACAGGCATCATGACAGTGCTCTGAGCCCTGGGGAAGTTACTCCAGACATGATGTCCTCCATCCTGTCGTCCCGGAAAATAACAGAAGCCTTTTGGTTTTCCCCTGAAATTTTTATTAGTTATCATGTACTTGTCTTTGCACAGTCACTAGAGGGGATTACAAACACACCGGTAAGAGTAGTTACCTGTAAGTGCCAAGGAGGCAGGCATACCTTGGAGATATTGCAGGTTTGGTTCCAGACCACCACAATAATGCGAGTCACACACATTTTTTTGGTTTCTCAGTACATATAAAAGTTATTTTTATACTGTACTGTAGTCTTTTAAGTGTGCAATAGCGTTATGTCTAAAAAAAATGTACATACCTTAATTTAAAAATACTTTATGGCTGGGGGCTGGCCTGGTAGCATATTGGTTAAGTTCACACGCTCCACTTTGGCTGCCCAGAGTTCATGGGTTTGGATCCTGGGTGTGGACCTACGTACCACTCATCAGCCATGCTGTGGTGGCATCCCACATACAAAATAGAGGGAGATTGGCATGGGTGTTAGCTCAGGAACAATCTTCCTCAAGCAAAAAAAGAAGAAGATTGGCAATAGATGTTGGCTCAGGGCCAATCTTCCTCACCAAAAACAATAAAAAAAATTTACTTTATTGCTAAAAAATGCTAACACTCACCTGAACCTTCAGTGAGTTGTAATCATTTTGCTGGTGGAGGGTCTTGCCTCAATGTTGAAATACTGCACGAATTACCAAAATGTGACACACATTTTGTCACATGACAAATGTGACATGAAGTGAGCAAATGCTGTTGGAAAAATGGCACCAGTATACTTGCTTGACACGGGGTTGCCACAAACCTTCAATTTGTAAAAAACGCATTATCTGCAAAGCACAGTAAAGTGCAATAAAATGAGGTATGCCTGTATGTCTTCTTTATATCATTTTATTTTTGATCCATGTAATATATTGTCTATTAAAAATTTTTCTTAATCATTTCTGGAAACCCACAGTGTAGTTATTACTAGCAGCCCTTCTGGAACCACAGTGCTGGTTTTCTGTGTTAATTCTTGATGTGTGCCCTGTATTCTCTTAGATGAGAGGTGGCCGCTGTGGCTCACTCTCCTGCCTCCTGTGTTTCAGCCTTTCATCCGCTGTAGTTTACAGTGCAGGGACCTAGTTGATGAAGCAAAGAAGTTTCACCTGAGGCCTGAACTGCGCAGTCAGATGCAGGGACCCAGGACGAGGGCTCGTCTAGGTAAGCTGGCGTCTGAGCAGAAGGGGGGGATTTTTCCACTACCACTTGCCAGGCGGCATGATGTAGTTAAAAAGAACATTCTGTAAGAAATACAAAGACCTTGTTTTAGACATGTTTTTGATCTTTTATTAATTATGTCATCTCAGACAAATCACTTCATCACCCTGAACTTTCTTTCCTATGAACCAAGGATATCTTCCCTATCTATTTCACATAACTATATGGAGGATTAAATGAGAAAAAGTATGTGAAAGCACTTTATGAATTGTCAGCTATTATGCAATGTAAGTTATAATTTTATTTCAATGTACTTGAAGTCTGTGAACTAGGAATTATTTCAAATGCCATGTAGTAGGTGGTATGCTCCCTCCCACCTCTCCCCTTCTCCATATGTGTTTTTTCCATTCTGGGATGAAAAGAGGAAGGAAACGCAGCAGCATGGTAGAGAGTACAGGAGTTCAGGATAGTTGCAATACAGGGGTTTTGGCAGTGACGTGTAGTAGTTAAGAGCCTGCGCTCTGGAGCCGACCGTGTGGGTGCAGCTGCCAGTGTACCGACTACGAGGTGTGTTAATGTTGGCAGAAAACTTAACCTCATACTTCAGTTTGACTCATCTGTAGAATGGGGATCATCGTAGCTCCTACCTCCAAAGTTGTTATGAAGAATAAATGAAGTAATTTATGTAAAAGGTTTAGAACAGTTCTTGGTGCATAAGTGCTGTGTATATTAGCTCTTATTTTAGCAAGCAGACTGAGGTTCAAATCCCAGCCCCTCTGAGGACTGGTTTTATGACCTGGGGCAAGGCATCAATTTATCTGAGCCTGTGCTTCTGCCTCTAGAATGAGGGTGCTAATTAATGTCCTCTCTCACTGGGTTGTTGTGGAGATTAAAGGAGATAACGCAAAGAAGATGCCTAACATTGTAGCTGGCAGTAAAAGGTGCCCAAATCTTGCTTCACTTCTGTTTCCTACCCTCCCGATTTCACTGTCCTAAGAGCCTAGGTGGTATGTGTGAAAGCATTTTGTAAGTTATAAATTACTCTGTATATGGAGTGATGTTTTCTTTTCATTATTTCCTAGTCTTGTTTTTAATCTCACTGTGGACTCGTGTGTGCATGCTAAGGTGTTAATTGATAATTAAGCTGTTCATTGATAGATTTAAGTAGAATGATGATTTATCCCCTATATTGTTTTAATGGCATAAGTGCTGTATGTTAATGTAAAAATTTTAGAAATACAGAAAAGCACAAAACAAGTAACAGTCATCCATAATCCCACCACACAGAGATGCTGCTTTTTTTATAAGGGAAATCCTAGAGAAAGAATAGTAGATGATGCTCTTCTATTAGTTCCTGGAGGATGACAAAATATGATCTATTTCTCATACTATATGCAAGGATATATTATCAACACAAGATAGATTGAAGGACTAAGTGTGAAAAACTATAAAAATACTAGAAGAAATGATAGGAAAATATTTGTATAACTTCCGGATGGAGCCCTTTTTTCTGTTTTTAATTGTAAAAAATGCATGACATAAAATTTACCATCTTAACCATTTTTAAGTGTACAGTTCAATAGTGTTAGTTATATTCACATTCTTGTACAACCAATCTCCAGAACTCTTTTCATCCTACAAAACTAAAACTCAGTACCCATTAGACAGCAACTCTCCCTTCCCCCATCCCCCTGGGTAGGAACCTTTTTAGCTAAAAGAAAAAAACCTACAACCCTTCAAGGTTACTTGACTGCATCAATTTTTTTTTTAATTGATGGACTGGGAGAAAATATATTCAGTATATATGATAAAAGGTTAATATATCTAATATAAAAAGAGCTCATATAAATCAATAAGAAAAAGAACACTAGCCCAATAGAAGATTGCATGAGAGATATACAGATTCACACAGAAAAGGAAATGTAAGTGAACACTGAACATTTAAAAATTTGCTTCCCTAGCAGGTCTAGAAATGAAAATTAAAGTTTAAAATGTACAAACCACCTTTGTGTCCCACCTCTGGGAATCTGTACTATAGAAATAAGCACAATAGTATAATCTATACCATAGAAATAAAATATTAGTATAGAAATAAGTATATATAAGATATATGCATAAGAATGTTTCCTATATGGAGCCTGCCCGGTGGCCGAGTGGTTAAGTTCACATGCTCCACTTCAGCAGCCCGGGGTTTCCCCGATTTAAATCCTGGGCACAGACATGACACTGCTCATCAGGCCATGCTGAGGCAGTGTCCCACATGCCACAACTAGAAGGACCCACAACTAAAATACACAACTATGTACTGGGGGGGCTTTGGGGAGAAAGGAAAAAAAAAAAAAGATTGGCAACAGATGTTAGCTCAGGTGCCACTCAAAAAAAAAAAAGAGTGTTTCCCATTGCTAATATTGCCAGAAAAAAGGGATATATCCTGAATTCCATCTGCAGGGAAATGCATGGTTGACTGAATTATACTACAACTGTACCATGGAATGTTATGAAACTATTAAAGCATTGAGTCAGATATATGTAGCTGGGTAAACAAGAAGGATTAATTGAGTATACTAAGTGGAGGGGAAAATCTTTTCATTGGGGGAAAAAAAGAGGCAAAAACTGTTTGTGTATGTTTGCATGAGCATCAACAGGATATGTGTGCAAGGATTAAACACTATACCTTTAACAAAGTGGGACTGTTTTATTTATATACGTCTGGGTTATCATAAGCACATGGTTACTTTTGTTATTTAAAAAATAGTAAAAAATGTATATTCTTTAAATACGATGTAAGCCAGTGACTTAATGGAAAGAATCTGGCACTAGGAGGTAAGACATATTATTTGCTTTGATTTCTGCTCCCATTTCTTCACTCTAGTAACTTACTGTTTGAATTTGGACAGGTTCTTTACCTTCCTGGATTACCATTTCTTCTGTATATCATGGGGGTTAAATTCAGTCACTAAGTTTCTTTCCAATATGGAAGATATATTTTTTTTTTGCAGAGCCAAAGGTGTCCCAGAAAGTACAGGATAGCACTCACTAATTGCTTGTTAAATTGAACTAAAGCCAATGAAAATTTTGTGAACCCGAAAACCCAGAAGATTCTTTGAAGGTACATTTCCTGCATTTCTCTAAACATGCAGCAGAAGCTCCTGCTTGCTCAGAGAACTTACTTATTGCCCTGACCTTGAGAGATTAGGATATGATTTTTTGTGCGCTCATCATTTTGAGGTTATTTTTCAGAAATCCTAGAAAGGAAATTCTGAAGCTGCTTCCAGCTAGATTATTAATTTATCATCTCCTCATCAGTACCTTAGAAGTAGAATGTTCCTACCATGATGTCCACTGCCCATCTATATTCATAGGGATTGTTAAACCAGCTACCAGGATAATGACTCTTCTGCATGCAGCATAAGGAAATTAAATTTACAGCTAATTAAAAATAGCGTGCCAAATAGTGTGTGGGGATTTTGTTTTAGTTATTAACCACACCTATTGCCCTCACAGAAGCTATCATGGAAATTGCAATTCTTGATTTGTCGCTGTCTGTTCTCTGAGTTAAAGGTCAATGCATATGGAAATAGAGTTCTATGAGCCCTGTTATGTTAGCAGTCCTGCAGTCCATCTGCTATATTCCTCTAACGTCACACCACAGCGCACACACACTCCTATCCACCCCATCCTCTCCTACAAAAAAAAACCACCGGGGCACTGTGAAGATGCCTCAGTTTTAGTAATGTGCTTTTTCACCCTCTTGTTAGATGTTTTCGACATGCTTTCCTCATCATAAAGATAAAAATCTATCTTAAGTACCCCATTCATTGGCAAAGAACTAGCAGGCTTCTTTCTGGTCACTCCTTTCAGTAGCTTTTTTCACATTAGTCACATTGTTACAGGAATGGTCCCCACTTAGAGTCCGAAGACATTGGAAACCTTAGGCGTTCTTCCAGTGGAGGATGACCTTGTAGGCACAGAGGAATAGAAACAATCACAAAGGAAAAGATCAGTGTATTTGACTAAATAAAAATCATACGCAACCTTAAAGACAAATTAGGAGAATAGATTTGCTGCAACCACAGCAAAGGGTTAACGTCATTTGTATGTAGAGCATTCATAAAAATGCGTGAGAGAAACTCTGAAGACCTGAGTGTACAGCTCCCAGAACGGGAGGCCCAATTGGCTATGAAATATGAGGGGCAAAGTTCAACCTAGTTAGTAAGAGAGTCTTATTAGTAACAAAATAAGAATTAAAGCAATAAATACAATTTTTTGCCTACCAAAGTATCAAAGATTAAACAACAATATCCAGTGCTACAGAGAGTAGAAAGAATTGGCACCTTTATAGTGTTGGTGGGAATGTAAATTGGTTCAACCTCAGAGTAATCTTATCATTTAAATGAAAAGATTTTTGTTTATGTTCATGTTCTTCACTCCAGAGACCCTCCCATTTCTGTGGTAGAAAAATAACTGGGAAAAGTTCCATATTCAGCGATATTTATCACAGGGTTATGTGATTGTTCATAACCCAAAATTATGAACCCCTGAAATAAAATTGTATATCAAAAGATTTTGCTCTTATCTTGGGAAAATGAAATAAAAACAGCAGGTTGCAATACAATATGGTCCCATTTATGTTTTATAAATATTTAGAAACAAGGCTGGAAGGAAATAATCTGTTACATTTGGCTTTGTATTTGTATTGTGGAATTAAGGGTAAATTTTTTTTCATAATACTTGTCTATATTTTCCAAGTTATTTCTAGCAGTGAAAATGTGTTTTATATATTATATGTTTTATAATCACGAGAAATATAATTAATATTCGAGTAAGGACGGCAATTATACTAGTCCTTGAGTAATTTTTTAAGTTTTCTAAAAGGAAATCATTTTTGTGCTAGAAAAAGCTGCACAGGCTGAACAAAAGACATCAGAATTGACTAAAGTTATGTCTATTCAATGTGAAAACTGTGGTGCTCTCATACTTACCAAAAGCTCTCTTGCACTTATATATAGCTCCAGCAGCAATGGGGAGATTGATTACTTAAATGCAGCTTGGTAGACAGTCTTTCAAACACAGGATCTGTCAGGAGAAAATAATGAAAAGAGTCCTTCATGGCAAGTATATTTGGGAACCAGTGGTCTAGGGCCCCCAGCACTTGTAGCCATAGAATGACTGAGCACCTCACACGTCTGTCCAACTTCCACTGTCGACGTATAGGTACCAGGTTTACTCAATAATTGTCGCCCAGGAAGTGCTGTCAGTTCACTGGGTTTTGTAGCATAATTAAATATTTCCTATCTGCTTCTGTGTCTCCCATCCTTCAAAAGCTGCCTGAATGAAATCATATTATCAAGAACAAGGGGTTTTTTCCCCTACTTTTATTTTCTGCTGGGAATTACATAAAGCAAAAGAAATTACAGCTGGAAATCAGTGGAAATTTTTTAGATGTGCAAAGCGTAGAACATACCTCTCAGTTGTTTGGAGTCTTTGCATTCTCTTACCCATACAGACATCATCCACTAGCATCATGTTCATCTACAGAGGGAAATGTGTTTGGATAGAAGGACTGCTCTTACGTTCTCTCTTCCTGTCAGAGGGAGGGAAGAAGTGGGGAAGAGTGCTCCCAAAGATGAGACAAATAACTGTGGGCCTGGCCTCTTCCTGCTTGAAGGAATTTTATACACAAATAAAACCAGCATAATTTGAAAGGGCCCGTGTGTACATGGTCTGCTTTTCCAAAAGGAACTGGCTGCTGAGACCTGCTTCCTGGCTCACCTTGGAGAAAGTACACAAGACTGGTGCCCCCTTAGAAGATGAGGTTAGACTCTGGTTTCTGTGTGGGTCATTAAGAAAAATTTCACACACACATAAAAACAAAATAATATGATTATCCCCCATGCCCATTACCCAGTTTCAACAACTTTGAACTCATGACCTTTCTGTTTTGAAGCAAATCCCAGACAGGATATAATTCTATCCACATATATTATGCTTTCATATGTATCTCTGAAAGATAAGGAACATTTTTTTTAATGTATCCAAAATGCCATTATCACTCTTTAAAGAAAACACACAACCAATCCTTTTTTTTGTTGTTGGCATTTTTTTGTTGTTTTTTAGTACGATTAACATTGATTTATAACATTATGTAAATTTCAGGTATGCATCGTAGTGTATTTCAAATTCTATGTAAATTACATCATCCTCACCACCCAAAGACTAATTACAATCCACCACCACACACTTGTGCCTAATCACCCCCTTCACCTCTGGTAACCACTAATCCAATCTCCGTTGCTGTGTGTGTGTTGTTGTTGTAAGATTCTTTATTTGAGACTTTTCTTGTTTGTTGAGGTAGGTCTGCATTGCTATAAACTTCCCTGTTAGAACTGCTTTTGCTATATCACATAAATTTTGGCATGTCGTATTTTCATTTTCATTTGTCTCCAGATATTTTTTTATTTCTCCTTTGATTTCTTCATTGACTCAATCGTTGTTTAGTAGCATTTTGTTTAATCTCCACATATTTGTGGGTTTTCCAATTTTCTTCCTGTAGCTTATTCCTAGTTTCATACTGTTGTGGTCAAAAAAGATGTTTGGTATTATTTTAGTACTCTTAAATTTATTGAGACTTGTTTTGTGGTCTAATATGTGATCTATCCTGGAGAACGTTCCATGTGCATATGAAAAGAATGTGTATTTATGGTTTTGGATGGAGTGTTATATCTACTAAGTCCATCTGGTCTAATGTATCATTTAAGGCCAGTGTTTCCTTATCGAGCTTCTGTTTGGATGGTCACTCCATTGTTGTAAGTGAAGTGTTAAAGTCTCCTACTGTTATTGTGTTACTATTTCTCCTTTTATGTCTGTTAATAATTGCTTTATATATTTAGGTGCTCCTATGTTGGGTACATAGACATTGACAAGTATTATATCCTCTTGTTGGATTGTTCCCTTTATCATTATGTAGTGCCCTTTTTGCCTTTTGTTACACTGTTTGTTTTAAAGTCTATTTTGTCTGATATAAGTGGTGCTACCCCAGCTTTCTTTTCTTTGCATTTGCATGGAGCATCTTTTTCCATCCCTTCACTTTCAGTTTGTGAGTGTCTTTAGGTCTGGTGTGTTTCTAGTATGCAGCATATATATGAGTCTTGTTTTTTAATCCAGTTGGCCACCCTATGCCTTTTGATTGGAGCACTTAGTCCACTGGCATTTAAAGTAGCTATTGATAAGAATGTACTTATTGCCATTTTATTACTTTCTTTCTGGGTATTTTAGTAGTTCTTCTCTGTTCCTTCTTTTGCTCTCTGCTCTTGTGGTTTGATGGCTTTGTTTAGTACTGTGTTTGGGTTTCTGTCTCTTAATTTTTTGTGTATTTATTACGTGTTTCTGGTTTGTGACTACATGACATCATATATAATAACCTATGTATATAGCAATCTGTATTAAGCTGATGGTCTCTTTAGTTTGACCTCTTGCTAAAAACTCTACTCTTTTATTCTCCTCCTCTCACATTTTATGTTTTTGATATATATCTAACCTTTTTTTGTGTGGGTATCCATTACCCTCTTATCATGGAAATAGATAATTTTAGTTTTTTTTTTTTGACCTTCATATTAGCTTCTTAGATGGTTGATCTGCTACCTTTACTGTATATTTGCCTTTAACAGTGATTTTATTGTTTGTTTTGATAATTTTCTTATTCCTATTTGTCATCTTTTTTCCACTTAAATAGATCCCTTTAGCATTTCTTGTAAGGCTATTTTCTTGGTGATAAACTCCCTTAGTTTTTGCTTGTCTGGGAAACTCTTTCTCTTTCCTTCCATTCTGAATGATAACCTTGCCAGGTAGAGTATTCTTGGCTGTAGGTTTTTTCCTTTCAGTGCTTTAAATATATCGTGCTACTCCCTTCTAGCCTGTAAGGCTTCTTCTGAAAAGTCAGCTGAGAGCCTTATGAGGTTTTCTTTGTATGTCACTTGTTTCCTTTCTCTTGCAGCTTTTAGGTTCTTTCTTTATCTTTAATTCTTGACATTTTAACTATAATGTATCTCAGAGTGGGCCTCTTTGGATTTATCTTGTTTGGTGCTATCTGTGCTTCCTGCACATGCATGTCTGTTTCCTTCCTTAGGTTAGGAAAGTTTTCAGCTGTTATTTCTTAAAGTAGATTCTCTGCCCCTTTGTCTCTTTCGTCTCCTTCTGGGACACCTATAATATGAATGTTAGTGTGCTTGATGTTGTCCCAGAGTCCTCTTAGACTGTTCTCATTCTTTTTAATTCTTTTTTATCTGTTCAGCTTGGGTGATTTCCTCTAGTTTTTCATCCAGCTTTCTGATCCGTTTTTCTGTATCATCTACTCTGCTGTTGAGTGCCTTTAGTGAAATTTTCATTTCTAGTATTGTTTTCTGCATTTCTGATTAGTTGTTTTTTATATTTTCCAAATCTTTGTTGAAGTTCTCACTGAGTTCATCCGTTCTTCTCCCAAGATTAGTGAGCATCCTTATGACTGTTAGTTTGTATTCTTTGTCAGGTAGATTATTTCTGTTTCATTTAGTTTTTTTTCTGGGGTTTTGTCCTGTTCCCTTACTTGGAACATATTCCCTTTATCTCCTCATTTTGCCTTCTTCTCCGTGCTTACATATATGTATTAGGTAGGTCATCTACATTTCCTGATCTTGGAGAGGTGACCTTATGTAAGAAATGCCTTATGAGGCCCAGTGGTGTGCTTGCCTCTCGTCACCAGTTACAGATGTTCAGGGTGTCACCTGTGTGGGCTGTGTGAGTCCTTCTGTTGTGGCAGGGTTGCTCTTGCTTCAGGTACCCGGGGAGGCTGTCCCCCTAGCTGGCCGGTTGTAATGCTCAGCTGCATGTGGCTGCCGTGGACCCTTCAGTCACTTTATCTGGCATGGGGAGTTCCAGCACAGTTGGCTACAAGGTCTAATAGCACATTCCTGTTGCAGTTTTTCTGTTAAGTGAATATGACCCAAGTGTGGCTGGTTGCTAGGCTCAGGGGGCTTACATTGCTGTAGCCCTCTGGCCTGCAGGTCTGTTGTTGGCTCTCTCAGGATTGCAGCTTAGTGGGGCCAGCACCAGGCATGGGAGCACCCGATTTTTTCAGGCTTTGGAAGTTGGGGCTGATCCCCTATGTGGTTGTTTGAGAAGCACAAGTCTGCTGCAGCTAAGAAGCCCCACTGCCTGCAGGGCCACACACTCTGTCAACACAGTCCTGCCCCACGCGTGGGCCCTGACCCACTGAAGCAAACCCAGTCACTGCACTGCAGAGGCCTCACACACTCCGCCAATCCAGGCCCACACCTCGTGCATGCCCTGTGCCGCCGAGGTGGACTCACCCACCGCACTGCAGAGGATCCAGGCACCCCACCTTTGTGGGTCCACAGATTGCCCAAGGCTTGCTGTTGGGTGGGGCTAGTCCCTAGGGCAGGTTGCCTGTTCTGGCTGAGCTGGATTAAATTGGTGCTCTGGTGGATGGGGCAGACTCCTATGCTAATAGGCCATGGGAAGAACTCCAGTGGCATCTGCCAGTGTTTGTGTCAGCATGTCTGTACTAGTTCTCAAAAATGGCTACCACCAATGTCTCAGTCCGTGGGGAGGTCTCACCTCTCACTGAGATGCGACCAAAGCTTATCAGGTGAGTCTTCACCAAAGGATTGTGCACCTTTCTTGCTGGTGATTTTAGGTTGCTTTCTGAATTGTGCATGGGCCCTTTAATAGCAGGCTTTTTTTTCCCTTATGTCCAATTGCTTTTCTGGGGGTATTCCCCATTGTTGTTAGTAGCAGCAATGCCAGATATTATGACGCTTGTCTTGGTTATGCTGAGTCCAAAAGCTGCTGCTTGTGTTCACATTCCCCTACTCAGATCCCCCACTCCTCCAGGGAAGGCTTCCTACCTTAAGATTGCTCCCAGCTGGCCATGAAGCTCTGCGGCTAGAAGGTGGCTTTCTTCTCTCCAGAAAGGAACTTTTTCCTCTTCCACCTCTGTCAGCGCTGTCCCTTGTGGTGTGGTTCTTTTTATCCCGTTTTCAGTTCTCTCTCGGGGGTAATTGTTCCAGGAGTAGTTGTAAATTTGTTGTGTCCATGGGAGGAGGTGAGTTCAGAGTCTGCCTACACTGCCATCTTGACCAGGATTCCCCCCACAACCAGCTCCTTATCTCAGATATCAAGTAGATGTTCGTGTTTCCCCAATTTTCCATAATTTTTGTTTTTGTTTTTGAAACTTCAAGTTGCTCCACTCAGGACCCAGACAAGGTCTAGCCATTGCGTTGAGTTCATCTCTCTCTTTAGTCTCTTTTAATCCACAGGTTTTCCCCTCCTGCTTTGGTTTTTCCTTGCAATTTGTTTGTTGAAGTGACCAGGTTGTTTGACCTGTAGAAATTCCCACATTCTAGATTTTACTGATTGTAGCCTTGTATCATTTAACATGTATTTCTGTCCCCTGTATTTCCTGTAAACAGGTGGTTTAGACTAGAGACTTGAAAAGATTCAAGATTCAGCGTCAGTTTTTTGGCAGCAATACTTCATAGGTGATGGTGGTGTACTTCTATTGTGCGTTGTAAAGTAGTATACTAGCGGCAGCTAATGATTGTAGCAACTGTTGGTGGTAACTGTCAGAGCAGTTACTACTTCAGGGCTCTGTGTCTCTTGTCAGTTTAGAGGTACTACAGTTACTCTTTCAAGTCCAGGTTATTTCTCTGAGCGCCTTGGTCTCTTAAATGCCCTCATAGTGATTGCATCATCCAAAGTGCTCCAGCTAAGTGTTCAGTCCATGTGCTCTAGGAGAGCAGATGCGCCAGGGGGTTCCTCAGAAGACTTTGCTCCTTGGAAGGACACAAGGTAGGAAGTATTTGATCAGAATAAGGCCTTAGGATAAAGGGGAATATGTGAAGGCCATCAAAATATTTTGTTTGGGAAAATAGTAGAGAAAAAGACTCCCTTTATAAGCCTGGTCTTATGAATACCTGACAGTTTTGATGTACTGGCAGGGAACATGTTCATATAGTTGGCTAAATTGGAAGAATAAAAGTTCATGGAAAAGAGATTTTAAAAGTTGATCACTTGGTCTTAAGCCGCATCTCTCAACTGTTTTGAGACAGGGTTAGGAGAGCATTCTTTCATTAGAGAAAATCCCATTCGGAGTTTGCAGGCTGAGGGGCAGGGAGCTTCGTTAGCCTCCTCCTGCCTGCACTTAGAACACAGTTACTGTATCAACCAAAGTCATCTAGATAGGTTGAAGTGGTGTGATGGTATGTTCGGGTTTGCCTGTTGGAGTTTTAATGTTGTCCAGAAATTTAAATTTCATAGATTCAGGTCCTCAAGAGCTAGGGCATCAGGAAGAAATAATTTCCTGTTAGGCAGCCTTAGGATGATTCTCCTATTTCAGATTGCTTCTCTGGGCCACGTAAAGCAAGATATCCCAGAACTGTTTCTACTTAATACTTTCCTGTGAGTAATTCCCCAGCCAGGGGTGGTGAAGTAACTTCTTTTTCTCCCTTTGTTTTCAGGAGCCAATGAAGTGCTCCTGGTGGTTGGGGGCTTTGGAAGCCAGCAGTCTCCCATCGATGTGGTAGAGAAATATGACCCCAAGACTCAGGAGTGGAGCTTTTTGCCAGTAAGTAATTGGTGAAACCAGTCATGGGGAAAGAGCTGAATGTCCCCGTTCCCTGACTATAGATCATAATAATCCAGCCCTAAAAGTATAAAAGCCTGGTAACAGCCTAATGTTCCTTACAACAGTGTCATGTAGAGTAGGGACTCGATAAATAGTTACTGACTGTTTGGAGTAGATCAAACTTCAGAAATATTAGTGGCACTGCATCGAATTAAACTCAGCTGGCCACTGCTATTTCATCGCCTTCCTGAGCTGTGTGTGTAACTCCTGGCATGCTCCGTTGATCATGCTCTGTTCACGTGAACTCAGTGTTAAATGGTGTTCATTTGAACTAGTGTTCAATTGAACTCAGAAGTTTGTATCTTTCTCCCTTGGTGTGTCTCTGTTTCAGTGCTGAAAGAAAAATAATAATTCTGAGAAAGCATGGAAATCTTTTGATCAGTCCTCCTAACTTTTAGGGTCTTTGAATCCTGGCCTTTGGATTAGCAGTGCAAGGAACTTTTCCACTTTAAGGAAGTCTGTAGCCCAGTGCCTTATGAAATAGGAAGTGATCAGGTACTAGATAACAAAAAGACATCAAATCTTTTGGAAGCCTTGGAAAGAGGCAGATGTACAGAAGTCTTGCATCACAACAGGCAAGAGGGTATTCATTCAGTAGGCAGGCCGCTGGAGGCCACGTGAGGGTGAACCACTGCCTCAAGAAGGGTTCCTGGTGACAAGAAGGAGAGGTGTGTAGGTAGAAACAGAAAGGACAGCCTGAGACTCTCGTGACTGACATGCTCTGCACTGCTTCTCTCCTAAATCCACAGAGCATCACTCGTAAGAGACGTTATGTGGCCTCAGTGTCCCTACATGACCGGGTCTACGTAATTGGTGGCTATGATGGCCGTTCCCGCCTCAGTTCAGTGGAGTGTCTAGACTACACAGCAGATGAGGATGGGGTCTGGTATTCTGTAGCCCCGATGAATGTCCGACGAGGCCTTGCTGGAGCCACCACCCTAGGAGGTAGGCTTGGTGTGGAGAGCAGTGTTTCCATTTTGTTGTGGCTGGATCAGGGTTCATACCTCTGCCTTTGGTCTGGCAGGAGCATGAAATGTAGAGATACTGGTAAGGTCAAATATCCTTTTTGCTTTCAGAAATATCAGTGTTAACAAAGCTGTTCGTTATGCATGGATATTTCAACACTGACAACACTTGGTAAATAGAGTTCCAATGTACTGATGAGGAATTGGCACTAGTTTTATTTTTGCAAACTTCGCCTACTCTTCAAATGCTTTTGAGGATTCAGTCTTACCCCATTCTTTTTTAGATATCTCGACTGTGCTGTCTTCCTTATCTATAAGACCTAATTGACTTATTCCGTGAAAAAATCTTCGTTTTTGCTCCCAAACATTTGAAGGAATTGTGGGGAATTTGTAGAGAAAAGAGTTCCTAGAAATCTCTCATTCTCTAATAGTCTGTGATTTGTTCATTCTGAACAGATATGATCTATGTCTCTGGAGGCTTTGATGGAAGCAGGCGTCATACCAGTATGGAGCGATATGACCCAAACATTGACCAGTGGAGCATGCTGGGAGATATGCAGACAGCCCGGGAAGGCGCCGGACTAGTAGTGGCTAGCGGAGTGATCTACTGTCTAGGTATTCAGTCTGGGATGCAGGGATGGGAGAGAACTCACTTAAGGGTGGCAGCCTCTGGGTGGGACTCCCTTTTTACCGGAAGTTCATAGACTTCCTTCAACTAAAACCCCAGTCTATCCCACTATCTTTTCCATCACTTAGGATTATCTTTTCCCTGGAAGCAGAAAATAGCATACTATCAGATTTCTTTTTGGATTATTGGAACTCTTGAGGGAAAAGTGAAACTGAAAGAATGAGTTGAAACACTCAGAGAAAGGCAGGCAGACTGGGAATGGGCAGAAGGATTTACCGTTCTTTCTGGAATAGTCTCTACTTTGTCTTTCAGGAGGATATGATGGCTTGAATATCTTAAATTCAGTTGAGAAATATGATCCCCATACAGGACACTGGACCAATGTTACACCGATGGCCACCAAGCGCTCTGGTAAGACCAGTCGGATCTAAGGGAGGGGACAATAGACAGTACTGTCAAATCTGTACTTGTGCGGCCATGGTACAGTCACAGGACAGGGTATCAGTAAATCAGAGTTGCATTTCCTCCTCCATGTAGACATAAAGTAAAACATGAGTCAGACTCCATTCTCCTCTTTCCCTCTGTTTTCTCTAAATATAGTGAGAATAAAGACAACTTAAACTTTCAACTAGATTATAAGTTTGAGGGCAAAAGTCTTCTTGTTTTACTTGTTTTTTATGTCTCTGTTCCCTCTCTGCACTCTGTGGTATCTAGTACAGTTTCGTGAGTGTAGTACTTGTTAAATGAATATGCTGAATAAAATCTCTAATGCACAAGTACAGAAAAGCAGTGATTTACCTTCACTGGGAGCTGCTTGAAGTGGAGCAGGCTGGGTTGGAAGCAAGGAGAAATGCTGCGCTGCTCCACTTTCCTTTCTCTGGGTGGAAACTGCATTGGGATGACAGCTTCAACTCCTTTCCTCCTTCCACCTTCAGTACCTTGTTTTGTCCACTGCCGCCTTTTCTCCTAGTGAAGAGGCTTGGGCTCTGAATTAATGAAAGTGAAGATGACAACCATTTCAGTTTTTCTTTTCTATTTCGAGGCCCAACCAAAGGGTTTACAGATGGGATAACTTGTGCTGGGCTAGGTTCTTCTAGGCCTGTCTGGCCCCAGTCCACATCCCTCAGCTAACCTAGAATTCAGCTAGCCATCAGTGACCATGTTTTGTTTCTAGAATTCAGGTCTTAACTTAGGAGTATTCATCTGCTGTACCTTTTTCCCCCAGGTGCAGGAGTAGCCCTGCTGAATGACCATATTTACGTGGTGGGGGGATTTGACGGTACAGCCCACCTTTCTTCCGTTGAAGCATACAACATTCGCACCGATTCCTGGACAACTGTCACTAGCATGACCACTCCACGCTGCTATGTAGGAGCCACAGTGCTGCGGGGAAGACTTTATGCGATTGCAGGGTGAGGATTTAGAAACCAGGCTAGAGTCACCAAGCATCCAGGGCAGTGTGATCCAGTCCACATTTTTGGATGGAGACGGGGTTTGGGTCAGGGAGACATCTTCAGTGGCAACCTTAGTGTAGGACTTGTATGGAAAGGAATAGAAAGCTCATTTCCTTCTTTTGCTTCTTCCCCACTAGATATGATGGGAATTCCCTGCTGAGTAGCATCGAGTGCTATGACCCTATCATCGACAGCTGGGAAGTAGTGACATCCATGGGAACCCAGCGCTGTGATGCTGGCGTGTGTGTTCTCCGAGAGAAGTGACCGTTGTTGGAGCATCATCCAGAGCTAGTGACCAGTCCCAGGGACAGTTTACAGGAGAATCAAGGATCCTTTCCAGAATGTCTCTTTCTCCTTGTGTGCACAGGGTGATTACAAGCACCAGTGCAGTGATGACTGTAGTTATTTGACACACCTCCCCCTCGCGCTGGTAGTTTTGTCCAAGAGGAGGGTGGGTAACAGACACTCCAGGGAAGAGACTGCACACTGGATGGATGTGAGAGGCCAGATCACCTCTCCTTCTGGTCTAGGGAGCACTTTCTTGTCATCTCTAAATTACCATATGCTTGGGAGAATATATACTTATATATATAAATATATGTTGTGCCTCATGTGTTGCAGAGAATGAAGGTGAGTTTGACCTATTACATGTGGGCAGTATTCAGCCTAGATGGTTGGGAGGATACCAAGCTTGGTAAAACCCAAGTCTTTTGTTTTCCTTTTCCAGGGATAAGTATCTTTCCTAGTCTACCGGTAGCTAGGGGCAACACAGTTCCATTCTGGAGGAAAACCAACAGAAAAGCCCTGTCAAACTTTGGGGGCCAAGGGAAAGATCTATCGGACACTCCCTTAGAGGGGACAGGGTTGCTTTATCAGGAGTTTAGAGTGAGTGAGGAAAATGATTCGATGGGATGTGAGTGAACCTAGAACACCACTAAAATATAACCTGGAAGACTGAGAAGGGTGTATTATTCGAAGCATCGTTTTATGTCCCCATGGTCTTTCTGAACTCAAGTGTCGTGCATCTTGGCACTGGAGACTGTCTGAGGGAATAACAGAGTGAACAAACGTTGGGAGGAGCGGAGATTGAGTAAATGTGGGAGTTCAGTGTGCCTGGGGACGAATCGGAAGTTCTCTGACTTTACATTGTCTTAATCCCTGCCGGGGCTCATCTGCCCATGGGTAAGGTTTGCCTCGAGTGGGTGAGAGACTCTTTGTTGAATCAAATACGACTATGCTATTACACTTCCAAACTATTTATTTGGGAATGGGGTGGGGATGGCAACAGCCTAGAAGTTCAGCTACCTGATTACTGTCCCCTTCTTTTAAGGGCACATTTATGCTAAGGACGGGTTTTTACAACTGTGTTTGGTACATTTAGTCTTTTTCCTACTATAAGGTTCCCTTCTCTGTCCTTAGAATGGATTTCATCCATCCCACGACAGAAAAATCAAGGACAACCAGAATTCTTTTGTTAGTTCCAGTACCTGCTATCACCATTTCTGAGCTACTGTTCAAGTCTCCCCTGTGTTATGGAGTGAAATTCTTGCTTTATGGGTATTGGGAGTGTGGGAATATGATGCCTAAATAAGAATGCACTTTCCCTTTACTCTGAAATTCCATTTTTCCCCTTTCCCTGAGTTTTGTTGATCTGAACAGTTCATCTTTGTATTTTTTTAAGAAAATATTAAAAATCAACTGTCTCAAATGCCTGTAAGAGAGTTTGTGGCTAACCAGCATTACCTTGCAGACATTTTGGGGGGATGAGGCATAGAGATCAGCTGCTAGTCCTGTCCCTTCAACCTGTTCACCTTGTGTGTTTGCCAACTAACTCTGCTATGTCTCTCCGTTAGACACAGATAAGGAGTAGCCACTTTGTGACTATAGAGATTCTTATCAGTAAAATGTTTATGTGAATTTGGTGTATTCATTGACTCTCTCACACTTGGAGTTTGAGCTCATTTAGTACCCACTGGAATTTTAGGGTTTTAGTCACCCCATCCTTTTCCTATTTGCTTCAATTTGTGACCCGTGATCTAAACAGCTATGTGGAAGGCCTGAAAAACTGCAAAAGTCCTGATATTCCCAGAGCAAAGGGAAGGGGGAGCCAAAGAGGAAGTTATTTTCACTAAAGAAGCCTGCCAACCTCTCTAGCAGATGGGAGTTGTGACTGCTGATTAAACCAGAGCTATGAAACGTGACTCATCCTACCTCAGGAAGAGATCCAAGGAAGGTTGAGAGGAGGTAGAGAAGTGGGGGTAAAGACTGTTGGCTCCTAGGCTGTCTTCACTGCTGAGTTTTCTGAGTTTCAGACCAAATTCCCAAATAGTTCTTATATAGCAGCCACAATAGAATATTCTGCAGAAAACACATAAAGCTCATTGCTCCCTTTCCACTCTTCTCCCAATCTTGTGTACTTTCGCATGCTCACACATATACAAACAGAGGTACCCCTGATTTGGTGGTTACTTCTGTTTTTCTAGCTCCCCTAACTGGCAGCCAGCCACTTAGTTATCCAACCTCAGAAGGCTATCATTTATCTTGTGTCACCTCTATCACAATACAACATCCAGTTAGTTTCTAGGTTCTATACGATTTTATCTTTAATTTTTCCAAATCCACTCCTATATTTTTATTCCCTCTGTTGCCACATAGTTCAGACTCATAGAGTAATAGCCTTCCACTATCCTTACCTTTGCTCTTTTCCTGTCTTTCAATCAAGCCCTTCCATTTTGTCTTCAGTTATCTTTCTAAAGCACAGATAGGATCATTATAATACCTAACATACAGCAAAGTTTCAGTAAGTTATTTCTGGCCATAGATTCCCATTGCCCATATTAGAAAGTTCAAATTCCTTAGCATGATATTAGACCCACTGTACCTTTCTGATCTTACCTCCCTCTACAACCCTCGCTTCCTTCAGGTATAATACGTTTCAGCCACAATGGTCTACCAACCATTCCTAAATTTGTTCTCTCCCTTGTTTATGTATTCTGTTTCTTCTGTCTAAAATAATCTTGCTTTCCTGACAAAATCCTAGTCATGTTTAATGCCTATTTCAGATGTCACCTGGGTTAAAGCCTTCTCTAACTCCTTGGACCGAATTACTCCGTAATCCATGCTTCCATTCACTTTGTTCCCGTGATCATCTTTATCACATGTCATTGGGTTTGGGTCTGTCTTCCTGTTTTGACTGTTCTTAACTACACAGTGCCTATGTATCCTCAGGGTATAGCATGTTACCCAATTACCAAAAGTTGAATTAATGAAGGACAAAGAGGAAAAAGAAAAAAATGCAGATGGAGTGGCAGGTAGATTAGACACTACCTAATCAAGTGGCTTAGTTCCCTTCATATTCTGCTTCCCCTGCCATGTCAGGAAACCCATGGCCTGTTGGGTTAGAAGTAGTAAGCTAGGGGTCTACAGACTCATCAGATGGAATGAGAAAGTATAGTGTAAGGTGGTTTTAGAGCCATGCCTGGATCTACGGACCCTAGAAAGTAACCTTTCTGATCTTTACCTTTGTCATTGTGTCCTGGGGATAATAAGTGACGACACCATAAGGAAATTGTGATGATTCAACAGGTTTCTGAAGTGCTCCACATGCCACCTAATATATGGTCACTGTGATTAGAACAGAGACAGCAATAAAAGCTTCCAGGCCTCTTTTTCCGACACCAAAAGGGTACATGTCCTTCTAAGTAGTCGGCTATAGAAGAAGCTAATGTGGTCAAAACTTGCTGATGGGAGTCTGACCAGATCCCTTCATGGTGCCTCCAGGAATGTCCCCGTTCATTCCTGAACTGAATACAAATCTCGGGAAACTAAAGAGTTACAGTCAATTGTAATGACTTCTGTGCCCAGGGTTTAGTCAACAGTAAGGGGAGGCTAGTGACCAGGTGAGTACAGAGAGAGGATTTGTCACGTCCCAGGAAGTGACCCTGTCACAAAGCCAGGTTACACCTGGCGCTCAGGTTAGGCAAAGGAGGAGGGCGCTTGCGCAGTAGAGGCCGGAGCGGGGGAAGCGGGCGCCTGCGCAGGGGGCGTGTCCGTCCGCGCCGCGCCGCGCCGCGCCGCGCCGCGCCCCACCTCTGAAGGCCGCGCCTGCGCAGTTCAGAAAGACTGAGCGGGCCGGCGCCTGCGCGGTGGTGGCCGAGGCTGCTGCACCGGTGGCAGTCATGGAGCCTGCGGAGCCGCTAAACGAGTTGGTGTCGGCCGAGGGCCGAAACCGGAAGGCGGTGCTGTGCCGACGTTGTGGCTCCCGGGTGCTGCAGCCGGGGACGGCTCTCTTCTCCCGCCGGCAGGTAGGCAGACAGGTTGGAGGCGGGTGACCGAGTGCCCGCGCCGCTGAGGAGTCCGGGTCCGTGAGGGGTCCCGGTCCGTGAGGGGGTCCTGGTCCCTGAGGGGCTCCCGGTCCGTGAGGGTTCCCGGTCTCTGAGAGGTCCCTGGTCCGTGAGGGGCTCCGGTCCGTGAGGGGTCCCGGTCCGTGAGGGGCTCCGGTCTGTGAGGGTCCCCGGGGTCCCGGTCCCTAAGGGGGTCCAGGTCCGTGAGGGGCTCCGGTCCGAGAGGGGCTCCGGTCCCTGAGGGGGTCCCGGTCCCTGAGGGGTCCCTGTCCGTGAGGGGCTCCGGTCTGTGAGGTGTCCCTGGTCCGTGAGGGGGTCCCGGTCCGTGATGGGCTCCAGTCCGTGAGGGGCTCCGGTCCCGGAGGGGGTCCCGGTGCGTAAGGGGCCTGGTCCGTGAGGGGCTGCGGTCCGTGAGGGGCTCCGGTCTGTGAGGGTCCCCGGGGTCCCGGTCCCTAAGGGGGTCCAGGTCCGTGAGGGGCTCCGGTCCGTGAGGGGTCCCCGGTCCGTGAGGGGTCCCCGGTCCGTGAGGGGCCTGGTCTGTGAGGGGGTCCCCGGTCCGTGAGGGGCTCCGGTCCGTGAGGGGCCCGGTCCGTGAGGGGCTCCGGTCCGTGAGGGGTCCCCGGTCCGTGAAGGGGCTCGCGCCTGTGAGGTGTCTGGGTCCGTGAGGGGCCCCTTCCCGTGAGGGCTCTGAGCCCCACCGGGGCTGGCGTCCTGGGCCGGCTCTTGAGGCCCGCAGGTCTGAGCGCCTCTCCGGTAGCCCCGTTGCCAAATGGCGCCCGAGTTCCGCCTCCACCCGCCGCCAGTCCTCATTGCCAGGGTCCCTTCTGCCGGGCGCTGTCCGCTCCGAGAAGAGCCCCAGGAACAGCACGTGCAGTGTAGGGATGCGCCGGGGTAACTCCCGTATCACGCATGCCTAGCAAGTTCTGGGATCGAGTTTCCCAGGGGAATCCCATTGTCAGCGGGACAGCTCTGCAGCCCTGAAGATCCGGTGTGAAGGAAGTCTGCTGATTGTCTTCACCTTAGGGGTTCCCATCCCTTCCTACCACCGCCCCCCGCAAGACAGCTGAGAAAGCAGTGGTTTGGTAAGCTTTTCACCGGAGTGTAACGTGGCCCAGGAAGGTGTGAGGAGTACCCTCATTGCAACCCTGTCCCTCAAAATGCGCTCTGCCCTCATGACCTGTCCCGCTGGGAACTGGGTTTCCACGTAAGAATGCTAGGGTGGGCACAAACGTTAGGTCTGTGGCACGGTGCTGCTGGATCTAGTGAGTGGAAGCCAGGGATGCTGCCCGCATCCTACAAGGCACAGGACAGCCCCCCGCAGAGAGTTCTCCAGCCCAAATGTCAGGAGACCCAGATGGAGACGCCATGGCCGGAAGACCGCAAAGCGCTCTCCCACCCATGCTCCCTGCCGGCCCCATGAAATCATCTGTACTTGATGTTTATGCCCCTAGACTATGAGGCCTGGTGTCCTGTCCACTTCCTTATCTCCCACTCCTGGACTGTGCGTATAAATAAGAACTGAGTAAATCCTTGGATTGAAATAAATTAATGAATAGAAGCTATGAGTCCGGTGTAAACCATGGGTTAGCGTGGATGGAATGGATCAGTATGTTTAACTGGTACCATTGCTTCTCTGTTTGTGCAGCACGTGATCTGTGTTCTTTTCAAATCATATAAATGACGTCACACACAGTGTTCATACGCTCGCAGTAGGTACTTCTCAAATCTTACCTCAAGTTGTGGCAGAGGAAATTATAGTTCAGCGGAGTAGAGGTAGGTGAATAGCAGCATGATGTTTCATGGTTGTGAGGGAGACTGGGATATTTGAAGCACTGAAAAGTTCAACTTGGCCAGGACATAGAATGTCATAAAAGCAGCAAGAAATGAGGCCACTCACAGTTAAGGTGATGGGAATAGAGGAAGTGGGCTCAAGAGAGACTGAGCCAGGTGCCAGTCAGCTGTAGATAGGGTGGAGTGACCAGAGCTGACCGTGAAGGGTCGCAGAAACCTAAAAGGAACAGAGGTGTTGATGTGAAGATGTAGGAGTAATAATCTGGGGGCAAGGAGAACACTGGTTCCCATCTCCAGTATGTGGGCTATCAGCGTGGGCGGCACTGAGGAGCCAGTGGTTTTTTCTAACAAGAGCCTTGTTTCCATGAAGACAAAATAAAAAGGAAACAACAGTTTGTGAAGGTAGGAAAAGGAGGATGATGTTATAAATGAGAGTTGTTTGCTTTTTTATCTTTTTTGGAGGAGTGGAGTTGCAGCATGAGTAGGCAGTGGAAGATGGGCTCATGGGAGAGAAGTGTGGAGCAGTGTTCGGATAATATGAGAGCAGAGGACCTGAAGGCAGTAACCAAGAGCGGTTCCTGCTAAAACTAAACATGCTCTTAACATGTGACCCAGCAAGTGCACTCTGGGACCTTTATCCCAGGGGAAATGAAAGCTTATATTCACACAAAAACCTGTATGTGAATGTTCATTGTACCTTTGTTCATAATAGTCAAAAACTAAAAACAGCCCAGCTGTCCTTCACCAGATGACTGATTAAACAAACCGTGCTACAGCCGTACCGTGGAGTTAACTACTGATACACTCAACTTGGATGAATCTCCAGGGAATTATGCTGAGTGAAAAAAGCCAGTCCCAGAAGGTTTACTGTATGATTCCATTTGTATGACATTTCTGAAGTAACCAAGGGATAGGAATTATGGGGCTGGGGGTATTGGTGAGTGTGGTTATAAAATGTAACAGGAGAGGGCCGGCTTGGTGATGTAGTGGTTAAATTCACATGCTCTGCTTTGGCAGCCCGGGGTTCACTGGTTTGGATCCTGGGCAGGGACCTATGCACCGCTCATCAAGCTGTGCTGTGGTGGCATCCCACATACAAAAATGGGGGAAGATTGGCACTGATGTTAGCTCAACGCCAATCTTCCTCAACAAACAAAGGGTAACATGAAGGATCCTTCTGGTGATGGAGCTGTTCAATGTCTTGACTGTGGTGGTGGATACATGAACTTACACGGGATAAAATTGATAAAACTGTATAGAACTACATATACACACAAATGAGTACAAGTAAACTAAGAAAATCTGAATAAAATCTGGGTTGTATCCCTGTCGATATCCTGGTTGTGATGTTGTGCTATAGTTTTGCAAAATGTTACCATTAGGGGAAACTGGGTAAAGGGTACATGGAATTTCTGTATTATTTCTTTTTTTTTTTTTTAAGATTTTTTTTTTCCTTTTTCTCCCCAAAGCCCCCCAGTACATAGTTGTATATTCTTCGTTGTGGGTCCTTCTAGTTGTGGCATGTGGGACGCTGCCTCAGCGTGGCTTGATGAGCAGTGCCATGTCCACGCCCAGGATTCGAACCAACGAAACACTGGGCCGCCTGCAGCGGAGCATGTGAACTTAACCACTCGGTCACGGGGCCAGCCCCTGTATTATTTCTTAATATAGAAATAATTATCATTTATCTATATCTTTGTATTATTTCTTCACTATGTATGAACCTACAATTATCTCAATAAAACTTTAAAACTCATTTTAAAAATCAAGACATTATGCTAAGGAAATAGTCACACGCTGCATAATGATGGTTTGGTCAACAACAGATGGTATATATGACAGTGGTCCCATAACATCAGTACCATATAGCCTAGGTGCATAGTAGGGTACACCATCTAGGTTTGTGTAAGTACACTCTGTGCTGTTCACACAACAACCAAATCGCCTAAGGATGCATTTCCCAGAACGTGTCCACTTTGTTAAGTGACACGTGACTGTAAACCAGTCACAAAAAGACAAATACTGTATAATCCCACTTACATGAAGTTCCTAGAGTAGTCAAATTCATAGAAGCAGAAAATTAGAATGGTGGTTGCCAGGGGCTGGGGGGAGCGAGAAATGGGGAGTTTTTGTTTAATGGGTACAGAGTTTCAGTTTGGGAAGATGAAAAAGTTCTGGAGGTGAATGGTGGTGATGATTGCACAACAATGTGAATGCACTTAGTACCACTAAACTGTACACTTAAAAATGACGTAAGTGGTAAATTTTAAGTATAGTTTATCACAATAAAAAATCGGGGGCGGGGGCCTGGCCCAGTGGCACAGCGGTTAAGTTCGCACATTCCACTTCTTGGCGGCAGCCTGGGGTGCCCAGGTGAGGACATGGCATCGCTTGGCAAAAAGCCATGCTGTGGTAGGCGTCCCATGTATAAAGTAGAGAAAGATGGGCATGGATGTTAGCTCAGGGCCAGTCTTCCTCAACAAAAAGAGGAGGATTGGCGGCAGATGATAGCTCAGGATTAATCTTCCTCAAAAAAAAAATCAGGGATCAAAATGGAACATGCATCTCAGCTATGTTAGGCAGTATTGTTCTAGTTATCTATTGCTACATAACAAAAGCACCCCAAAACAGTGACTTAAAACATTAACATTTATTTTGCCTATCAATTTGGGGGTTGACTGGGCCTAGTTAGGCAGTTCTTATTCAGGGTCTTTTATGTGATAGCAGTCAGAGGGGTCATCTCAAAAGCTTTTTCACTCATCTTTGCCTGGGGACTGGGAAGACCCAAACACGTGAGCACTGGAACAGGCTTTGGGGGCCTCTCAGTCTTTCAGTGGATCTTTCCACATGGTCTCTCTGCATGGTGGCCTCAGGGTAGCTGGGGTTCTTACATAGAACCTGAAGGCTCCCAGAGCAAGTGTTCCAAGAGAAACTAGCAAAAGTGGCGTGGCCTTTTCTAACCTAGCCTGTCACTCCCACCACATGATATTCAGTATTACATTCATCGAGGCAGTCACAGTGGCCTGCCCAGGCTCAAGGGGAGAGGCAAGGACTCCACCTCTTGGTGGAAGGATTGTCAAAGAATTTGTGGACCTGTTTTAAAACCACCACAAGTACTCACTGAAGGGGGAAAATCATGAAAAAGTTACCAAGTTTACTCTGTAGTCTAACAGTTTTTATTCTCATCTATATTGTAGCATGCTTGCCAAGCTTCCCATAATGAGAATGTATTTTTACAAAGAGAAAGAAAACATTTTATTTTTAAAAGGGTACTGTTAACAGCTCTTGAAAAAAGGAAAAGGAGTTCCACTGAGACATCAATAGAATCTCACTGAGTTGTCATGTTCTACATATCTCTGAGGAGCCTGGCCAGGATTCAGGGTACTAGCTGGGGTCCTGACAGCAAAGTTAACCCTTCTGGTCAGGGATCTGACTGGCAACTTTGGCCCCCAACCGGGTTAGCTGCCTCAAATTAAATCTTAATTCTTGATTTCCACCCCAGTAGTCTTTCGAGACTGCTATATCCCCCATATTACCTAACCCTAGCAGTTGTGCTCGGCATGGCAGTGAATAGGTTGAGATCCATGCAGATACACATATACATGGTTATATATAGGTATAGTCTTGTGGGCCTTACTTATAGCATTTAAATAAAAGTGGGAATGTTGACAAATCGAGGGAACAGGACTCAGAATGATTCTTTGAATGAATGGTTAATAATAGTATTTCTCTTAAATCATTAATCAAGTGAGATTGCAGAGGTGGCGTTTTGCTCTTTAAATGGGAACAGTGCGAGGGAAGCTGGTGCTTTGTTGGATGCCTCCTGAAGGCTAATGCTTAAATAGTCTTTGATTTTCTTCCCTTCCATTTAGTTAAGATGTGACTTCACCCCTACAATGTAGGGGATAGGCCAGAAATAGTTTTAAGGAAATTTAGGCCCACAGAAAGTTACAGTTAGGACTGGAATCCAGGTTTCCTGGTTCCTGAATTTTGATTCCTAACTCCCTTTGCCTCTGCCTGTTCCCATTTTCCTTTAGGGTAAAACAAAGCATTAGGAACTCATTTTAAACATCAGATGAGGCAAAATGAGTGACTGGAATGATAATATAACAGGAGGAAGGACTATCTCATTTTGTGATGTCCTCAGATGACCTCTCAGGTGACAGCAAAGGGTAGAGCACAGACGTGTTTTAATAAGCCAAGGGTTTGGAGGACGGGGAGTAGAAATGTTCTGAATGGTGCTCCCTCCTCCGTATCAGGGATACGCTACTGACTACAGTATAGCCTGGAGTTCAGAAGTGCAAACTCCAGGGTATTTAATACACACTGGTAGCTCTTGTGGACTTCCTAACTGTAGCATTCAGGGAGAGGCTTACTCATCCCTACCAAAGCATTTACCTTTTTTGGACTAATGTCAGTCCAATTTCTAAAAGTTTTTTGCTTTTATTCTGATTGCCAATGCCAGACTAGCACACTGAGGCCATCCTGTTTTGTTAGAGTTTGGGGATGCATTAAACATGTATCGTAGGGTGGAAAATAAGTGTTTTGGTAGCAGCCATAATGATGAGGAGCAGAGGTGTAACAAGCTTTGCTGGCATTGTATTTACAGTAGTCTGGGGAAGCTAAAGGTGTGTGAACTAGCCATATGGAAGAAATTAAAGGGAGTGTGTGTGTGTCTGCGTGTGCTTTCATAGCAGCGTGGCAGTGCCAGAGGCTTTCTCCTAAACCTTGGGAAGCCATGTTAATTAGCGGGTACAAGGATCCTAATGATAATGCAAATTCTCAAACTAGATTTTCCTTTTTAATGTTCTTTTTATAAGGTAAATCTAGCATATTCATAACAATGGTGGAATATAGGAAAGCCAGATATTCTGTATTATTTTAACAAATATTTGAGTTCCTGCTCTATATCAGTTACTATTCTAGGCACTGGGGATATAGTAATGAACAAGAAAGATAAGCTCCCTGCTGTCCAGGGGCTGACATTCTAGTAGAAGGAGACCCATGGTAAATAAGTAAGCCAATAAATTAAGAAGATAATTTCAAAAAATGGTAAGTAAACATAAAGAAGGAGTGACATAAGGGAACTTTTGGGGGTGATGGGATATGTTCATTATCTTGATGGTAGTGGTTCATTGGTGCATACATGTGCCAAAATGTATCAAATTGTACACTTTGAATATGTGCAGTGAGTGTGTCAGTTATACCTCAGTAAAGCCATTTTAAAAATAAAAATACAGTGGGCAGTGTGGAAAGCTAACTCAGATTGTTTGGTTAGGGAAGACTTCCTGAGGAGGTTACAGTTGAGCTGTATATCAAGAAGGAGTTGGCCTTGCCACGATCTGAGGGCAGAGCAGACTTACTCAGTTTGAAGAAGGAGCATAAAGAGCTAGAGGGAGATTAGGAACAGATAGGGCCTTATAGGCCATGGTAAGGATAGCAATGAAGCCAAGTTACCACAGCAACCAAAGTTCTTCTTTCATGTCTCTTAAGAATCAGGGCATGGATCAGAGGTAGCAGAGAAGCCACCCAGCCTCCTAGTCTGTAACTTAATAATAGAGCTCCTCGTTTCGTTTTCATTCCGAGAAACTGCTAGGGTGAAGTGTAAGTATAAGTAGAATGGGGGTGATGATGTGATTGAGCCAGTTCAGCTTTTGTATTCTTTCTGCCACTACAGCTTTTTCTTCCCTCCATGAGAAAGAAGCCAGCTCTGGCTGATGGCAGCAATCCCGATGGCGATATCCTCCAGGAACACTGGCTGGTTGATGACATGTTCATCTTTGAGAACGTGGGCTTCACCAAGGACGTGGGCAACATCAAGTTTCTGGTCTGCGCGGACTGTGAAATTGGACCAATTGGCTGGCATTGCCTAGATGACAAGAAGAGTTTCTATGTGGCCTTGGAACGGGTTTCTCATGAGTAATTGAGGGTAGGAGGACTCAACTCCACCCCAACTGTAAAAGCTACTCTCCACAAGAACTGGCATTTAACGTGGTATAATTGTTCTGCTGCCACCTTCTCTGTACCAATATAAATTATGAGTATCAACATGTCCAGCTTAACATGCAGAGAGCTAACCCTGCTTCCTTAAAGCCTCAAGTGCATGCCTCTTGCTTAATTCACTTCGCATCACAATATTTCCTAATGTCCCCTTTTCCCCAGTTTTAGGACACTGGAATGCTTCCACAAATCTTTTCTCATCCCTAGCATTCTGCCCAGGTGCTCTCCTACCCAGGGGCTCCCTCATTTTTTGCTCTAAAAGAGCAATAATCAACCTTGTAGCCACAATGACACATGACAAGTGATGCTCATGTGCTGACAGTTGAAACCACCTTTATCTCTCTCTCATTCAAAAAGCATATAGTATCTGACAGTGACTTTGTTGTATGCTAACTTTATCTACCATAATTTATTTTTAAAAGTAAAGCATTTACAAACTTCACTATTTAAACTACTAATCAGAAACACATTACTTTGGACATAACTCTAATACCATGTTCGAGAGCCTCTACTCCAGATTGATAGTGATTTTTATTGTGAAGATGAACATGGCCCCTCTTCCATTCAGATCTCAATGTGTTTTCTCTTCATATTAGCTCCTTGCTGCTATAGCCAGTAAGTTGAAAATCAGATTTTCACCCCCATCTGGCAGCCACCCCAAGGAAAACTCAGCCCAGGCCATTTTCCCAGGATCTCTTGGAATCACAGTGGAGGATGTGGGATATCGGAGGGATAGGCCTTTGCCATATTATCTGCGAGTTTACAGGTTTGTCTGCTCTGGACCAATAACTCTTCCTTTATTCTTAGGAACAACTTCTTTAATGGACATTGTCATCATTCACTGAACCTTCTGGACATGGTCTTCACAGAGTTTGAGTTCAATTGGAATCTATACAATCCAGAATACAAACTTTCTATCCAGATGCCTCTATTTCTACAGCTGTGGGGTTGCTCTGGCCATTTGATATTAGCAAACTTCTTTAACCATTCAATATGATGTTCAGTTCTGCCATTTCTCTTCTGAAATGACTTACCATCTTAAAAGAAATCTGTATAACCAGGTTTCAGGTATCTCCCATCATCCCTACCTTTAAGAGTCAGGAGACCTAGAATTGAAAAAAGGACTAAAAGGAGACCTTACAATCTGCAGTCCATTCTTTTGCATCTGTTTTCTGGTTGCCTCCTCATTCCTGTCCCCCAAACTTACTCCAAGGGCTCCCCAACTAAAGTACAGGCCTTGGGCATGATTTTATCACCCACCTACTGCCCTAGAAAGGTAGCTTCCCTTCCCCAGTCATAGCCTCAATGAGCTCTAGTAGAAAACAAGAGAACTGTTTTCCAGACAAATGCTCAGATGCCTATGATTATGGCATTTGCAGAAAAACAACCAAGAATTATCCACTAGGTCAGAAGAAACAAAATAGATGCCTCTCGGCATATGACCCCTCATTATAAGCCAAAACCTAGGCAAAGCATTTTTTTAAATTAGGCTTTGACTTTTCTTTCCTTTTTTAATCACAGAAATAGTACCCATTCATTGCAGATAAATATGAAAATGGGTGTAAAAGTTTTTTTAATCACCTGTATTACCACCATCCAGAGATTGCCAATGGTAATGTGGCATATATCCTCAATGTTTTTATATATATATATATATATAAATATGTATGGTTTTGTAAAACAAATATGAGATCATACTGTACTCTTTTATAACTTGCTTTTTCCATTTAACAGAATACTGACTTTTCATGTCAGTAGATTCATCTATGTACACCATTGTTTTTCATATTCCATTGTATTTCTGTACAATAATTTAAACAATCCGCTATTAGATTGTCTCCAGTTTCCTATAAATAGTGTGATGTAATGTGCAACCTTCTAGTTAAATCGGTATACACATTCTTACCTATTTCCTTGGCATACATTATAATAATTAGAATTGCTGAGTATGCACATTTTCAAGGCTTTATTGTATTGACACGTATTCCTCAAAAACACCTGTGCTAATTTTCCCTCCTCCAGCAATGTACAAGAGAACTCATTTGTCTGAACCCTAACACTGGGTATTTATTATCATTAAAAGGACATTTTGGGGGCCAGTCCTGTGGCAGAGTGGTAAAGTTGATGCACTCTGCTTCAGTGGCCCATGTTTTTGCCGAATCGGCTCCAGGGCACAGACCTAGCATCACTCATCAAGCCATGCTGAGGCAGCATCCCACACAGCAGAACTAGAAGGACCTACAGCTAGAATATGCAACTATGTACTGGGGGCCTTTGGGGAGAAGAAGAAAAAAAAAGTTTGGCAACAGATGTTAGCTCAGGGCCAATCTAAAAAAAAAGCAAACATTTTGCTACTTTAATAGAAAAAAAAGTATCTCATTGTTTTAATTTGTATTTATTTCTAATGAAATTTTTATATACTTATTGGTTATTTGTATTTTTTTGAGAATTGCCAAACGTTATTGCCCCAGTAGCCAAAAATATCAATATTCTGCCTTCTCAGCTTGATTTGAAAGAAATAAAGGCATTTGAACAGAGGAAATTAGATTCCTGTGTGTCCTTGGGAAGAATATATAATTTGAAAAAGAGAGGAGAGCCGAAACCTGAAACTTAGGGTTTATCTTGAGGTCTGTCAACTACTAAATTAACCGCTTAGTGTCTGCTATAAAATGAGAATGTCATCTCTTCCTTCCCCTCACACAAAGGCTCTCAGTAAAGACTTGTGAATCAGTTAACTGCTATTTGCCATAGGTAGATGGACGTAACCCATGCTTGCTACTATGAGTATAGAAACCTGCAGTTTTTGTTGGGGAGAGCAATTGGTTTTTCCAAGGCCAAATTGTTTCTACAAAATTCTTTTTTAACACATAATCAAAGATGAACAGTGGTGTACTGACATTTTACATATTGTTACCATGTCAGGTATGAGGCTGCTCAAGTAACTCTAACAGAACTAATAAGACTTCTGCTCCTGGTAATGCAGAATGGCTAATTTGGATTGACCATCCCACTAATGGCAAATAGAAAGACTGGACAAAATATTTTAAAAATCCGAAGGCATCAGAGAGCTACCATGACTGAAGAATTACTGAACCAGGACCGGTGAGATGATGGAGGCCTTGGGAAGTGGGCTGAGTGTTATGGGCTACTGTTTTGGGGGCATTTGCCAAACTTGGAGGAGGCAGGTCAGAAAGCGGCTGATGGGTGATGTTGACAGCCTTCCAGAAGTAGGGGACAGGGCCTGTCAAAGGATCGTGGGCCTGATGTGTGTCCCTCACTTTGGGTTGAGGCCCTCAGTCCTTTGCACCCCAGGATCAGGGATGAACTAGAAGTAGGAAAGTAGGAAAGCCTCTCAGGATTGCAGCTCAGCTTCCAGTGCTCTCAATCCTTGAAATTAGCTGACGGTCATCCCAAAGTGGTAGTTTCCCCAACCTCTTGGCATAAGCAAACAAAAACCCTTTCTAGAGGAAGATACCATCAGCCTAAATTTTGAGTTGTTTTTACAAACAATTTTGCTAAGTTGATATCCTGAATACAACAGAATGTAACCAAGCATATGAGACAAGATGACAAGAAAACTAGTAAAACTATAGTGGACACGTGCCCAGAGAGGCTGGAGACACTGGGGCTATCAGACAGAGCCTGTGAAATAACTGCTTGGTCTCTTCAAGGAGATGTACAAGTTTGGGGAAATTCAGCAGATACTTGGACATGTGAAAAACCAAGTGGACTCTAGAATTTAAAAAAAAACCAATCACCAAAATTAAGAATTCAGGAAGGTTTTTAACAGCAGATTAGACACAGCTGAAGAGAGAACTAGACAACTGGGAGCTAGGGATAACTTTAACAGTAGACTTGCAAGACCACCACACAAAACCTTACACAACATTACTGAGAGAAATACAAAAAGCAAACAAATTTATGGGGCCAGAAAACTACAGCTCACAGGACAAATCCATTCAAGCCAGCATCCAATTTGTTGAGATTCAGCAGCCTTCGAGTTAAGAATGGTTTTTACCTTTTTAAATGGTTATATAAGTATCTACATAGTATTGTCTCTTAGCCCACAAACCTGAAATATTTATTATCTGGCCCTTTAATAAAAAAGTTTAGGGGCTGGCTCTGTGGCCTAGTGGTTAAGTTCAGTGCACTCCACTTCAGTGGCCTGAGTTTGTGGGTTCGGATCCCTGGCATGGACCTACACCACTCGTCAGCCATGCAGTGGCGGGGACGCACATATAAAGTGGCGGGAGGTTGGCACAGATGCTAGTTCAGGGTCAATCTGCCTCAAGCAAAAGAAAAAAAAGTTTGCCAACTCCTAATATTGTAAAGGTGTCAACTTTTCCCCAAACTGATGTATAACTTTAATAAAATCCCAATCAAAAACCCAACAGTTTTTTTGTGAAATTCAACAAACCGATTCTAAAAGTTATATGAAAATGCAAAAGACTAAGAATAGCAAAGACAGTCATGGAGAAAAACAAGATGAGAGAACTTCTCTATTGGATAGACATTGTCGTTTGTCACGAGAACAGACAAATAGATGGAACAAAATAGCTCAGAAACAGACCCATGCATATGGATACTCGATTTATGCCAAAGGCGAGGGTAACGATTTGGACAGGGCATGAGGAGAGCTGCAATGTGGTAATGTTTTTTTTTTCTAATCTAGGTAGTGGTTATGTAATAAATTGTTAAGCTGTACATCTTTGGTGCACTTTTCTGAATATATATTTTCATAATAAAACAGTCTTTAAAAGAATGTAACCAACGGTCCTGTACAAAGCCCAGTTTACTAAACATCAGTTCTTCCCTTCAGTTGGATGACATTTCTTTTATAATATCTCATTTGAAAATTAAACCCTTGACTACTTCCTCACCTCTCAGGAAGGTAAATTCCATAAGCGTAGGGACCAAAACTCCTGTTTACTATTATACCCTTGGTGCTTGGCCCACTGTCTGCCACATTTTAATAGTCTGATAAATAATTGTTAAAGGAATTTAAAATAAACTCCAGTGAAAGCTATATCATTTTAATGGGACTAATTTAAAGTAGTTCATGCAGTTTTTTTTAATGGAGGGTTGAGTGAGCAATATTTCTGATGCAGAAATAGTGGGTTAGAAATTAGGTATGGCACTTTTTTCCAATGCCTTTTGACAAAGACAGTGAAAACAGATGTGGTACGCAGACTCATGCAGAGAGTACGTCAATGTGGCCATTACCGTGGCTAAGTCTTCAGAGGGCAAGAAGATGAAGGTGCTAACTTCAGCAGTGCCAATTTTTCATTTGTAACCAAGGTTTTCTTTTGTTTGGGAGAACTGAATTCTGGAATATGTGTCTGACTGTCAGAATGTAGGGTTGTGGCAGAAGTGTCCACCAAATTCACTTCAAGTCTTTTGAAAATTTGAATGCATTTTGCCTCATATAGAAACAATGTTATCCATGATGAGTAGTTTGTAGCCTATGACACAAAACTAAGTGTACCCAAAGCATAACATTATAATAAATGATTCTCATTTTGGATGCCAGGAACAAGTCCTCTGCTACAATTAGAACAGGGTCACTCTCCAGATCTGGTGACCCCAGACAGATTCTATTTCAGATTGGGGCCAGGATGAACTGTGACCTGGGGAAACGAGTGAGGAGATAGAATGTGGGCAGGGGAGACTTGTGGCCCTAAGGAGGTAAGGGGAGAGTGATAACTCTCACGGGCTTATACATTTAACCCCCCTTGGTCCTGAATGGCCTCTATGAGACATGAAATAGGGATTGGGTGGAAATGGGGGTTTCATCCTAGGGAGCAGTTGCCCCAGTCAAAGGGGAGGTGAATTTCAAGACAAGACAATATGGAAAGAGAGTGAGTTCATGAAGTCACCCTACTTGGGCAACTGAACTAAGATGACCATCAGTTGTAAGTAATTCAGTCAACTGAAAGCCAGCTGCTGCCTGTACAGTCTTGGCACTGGCTCAAGAATGAATAGCCAGGCACAGCCCTGATGTCTCCCTGTTTAACCTGATTCTCCACCACTGAATGAACAGGATATTCTTGTTCCCACAAAGCCTCTCCATCTCCTTTTGCCCCTCCCTTGCCCAGACTCCCTGTGGTTGTCATTCAGTTCAGTGTCATTTAACTGCCGTGCAGTGGGGAGGCTGGGGAGAGAGCACGTATATACGAAAGGAGACAGGCTTATCAGGATTCTTTAGATTGCTTGAAAACTAGAGTTGCCCATGGGCTTTTCCCTCTGAACCGTGGAATATTTAAAATTCCTGAAGAGCTGTATGAAAATGGTGTGTCTGTAATGGCACTGAAGTAGAGATCAGTGGGGTGATATAGAGAAAAGGAGGAGGAAAAGTTAGAGACAAAAATCTCAACTTGGGAACCAGCCCTGATGGCCTAGTCGTTAAAGTTCGGCGCTCTCACCACTTCGTGGCATGGGTTCGTTTCTTGGTTGTCAAAAGACACCACCCGTCTGTCAGGTGCTAGGCTGTCGCAGCGGCTCACACAGAACTAGAAGGACTTACAACTAGAATATACGACCATGCTCTGGGACTTTGGGGAGGGGCAAAAATCTACATCTAAATCTAAGCAGTCTAGATCATAGAAATCTACCTTGTAACAGGACTAATTTTAATTGGTGTGAGGTAAAGAAGCATAGTGTCAAGAAGGGGTTTGTGTAATTTCCACAAATAAGACTGAAGATGTCACTGTTCCAAACGTGTTCATAACCCCCCTGGGTTAGAGGCGACTCTATTCAGTAGAGGGATGGAAGGACGTTTTTAACTGTCAGAGTCTGCCTACCAGAAGGTAGAATGAATGCCTAGAAAGGTGAGCAAGGGAGAGACGATGGTGTTGAATTTATGACTTTTGAGTTT